AGAGAGAGAGAGAGAGAGAGAGAGAGAGAGAGAGAGAGAGAGAGAGAGAGAGAGAGAGAGAGTTTCTTTCTTTGAGAGCCGCCAATTCTCCTCGAAGGGACGACACCTCCAACTGCAAGGCAGAAATTAGGGCTACCTTGGCGGCCAATTCTTTAACATTTTTTGCAATATCGGCCAATGCCTGCTGAACAACATCGCGCACCTAGTGCCACCCAATTTTTCACAAGGGTGCAGGTTTGAGTTTTTTTGAGCTCCGTAGGTTTTCGTCGTTTTTTCGCAGCCCACCCGGCATCAGGCCGGAGTGGAGCCCTTAGGAGACGTAGTGTAGAATCGTAGCTTAGTGTAGAGTAGCTGATATTTTGAGTAGCTGTCACACCCTGACCTACTCTCCGCCATGGACGAGCTGGCAGGTGAACCCCTGAGACTTCTGTGCAGTCTCCCAGGCATCGAAGCCAATGTCATCAGCTTGATCCAGCAATTGTCGTCGTATGTTAGTGAGTCTAGAGATAGAGAGGAGCGCGTGAAACGGCGTGTGGATGAGCTATGTGCACACGTTTCGGAGTTACGAGGCGAACTGAGCTCCTTGAGGCAGTCCGCCATTGCCCCCATGCATGTCGACCAACAGCAACAAAAAGGCGAGGAGGTCAAGGAGAGTGCAGCTAGTAGTACGAATAGTACCCGTACGCTAACTGGAAAGTCTAAGCCGCGCGCAAATAGTGAAAAAAAGTCAAAGCAGCAGGCAGAACACGTGGGAACGCACACTGAACCCCGTACCCGTAGCGCTGCCACACCCTGGCACGCAGGCAAGACGGTGCCCTCAGTGGACACGGAAACGGAGTACAAGGATAAAGCAAACCCGGTATGTACTACAAACCACAGTCCAAAGGTCGCAGACACACAGACAAACACTGTGGGTTCGCAGCACGTTCCACCACTACCTGTGGATGATGACTCATGGCAACTAGTCTCTTCTGTCTCCCCTCGCCTTAGCGTCAGGCGTGGGGTCATTTGGATTGGAAACCTGCGCCCAGCTATTAGCATTGAGCAACTGGAATCCTTTATCCAACAACGTGCCCTGACAGCCAATCAGCAGCTCACGATATTTAGTAGCAAACTGATCAGCAAGGCTGATGGCAAGGTCGGTGCTCGTGTGACGATCAGCCGAGCCTCAGTTGAAGCCCTCACACAGCCAAACTTCTGGCCCAGGCCTGTTTATGCACGCCCATGGGTTTTTCGTGATGACCAGAGAAACGCAGCAGACAAGCAACAACAGGAGCAACAGCAGAAGACACAGGGAAATCAGCACCAGGAATCTACACTAAGTCTTGAACAGAGAAACACAGCAGACCAGCAGCAGCAAAAGAAACGGCAGGAGGAGCACCAGAAGACACAGGAAAATCAGCATCAGGAATCTACACCTGAAGAGCACCAGCATTTGCAGACAGAACAGCAGAACCTGCATACTGCATCTAGTGACAGCCAATGCCCTGCATCCAGTGACAGCCAATGCCCTGCGTCTAATGACAGCCAATGCCCTGCGTCCAGTGACAGCCAATGCCCTGCGTCTAATGACAGCCAAAGCCCTGCATCTAGTGATGTCCAGCAGGACAGTGGCCAGCACCAGCCCAAGCTTCAAGATACGTCAACTGCGTCTGCTCCAGCCAAAGCCACGCCACCTCGCCCTGGAAAGCGTCATGCAGAAGATTCCCCTGGATCCATGTCGGGAATACCATGCAAAATGCAACCTTCATCTAGCTCTCAATGAGTAAGCTAAATCCAGTTGCGCGGGAGTTCTACCCTCAGGCTGCTACCGTATCTATTAACAGACTGCCACAATCTCATTCAACACATACCACCATTGGATTCCTTAACATCTGCAGCCTGCGCTACAAGATAGACACGCTGTCCGCTCTGATTAGGGAAAGGACATGGGATGTTGTTGGGATTGCGGAGACATGGCTGGACGCGTCTATAGCTGATGGAGAACTGAACATTGAAGGATACAGTTTGGTGAGAAATGACCGAAAGGGGAGAAAAGGAGGTGGCGTCTGTATTTTTTACCGGTCCTACTTGCCCATCAAACCACGGCCGGATCTCAACCAAGGGGACACGGAGGTAGTGTGGGTTGAGCTAAATGGAAAGGCAGGCAATCACTTAATTGGCTGCATATACCGACCACCAGATGCGCCAGTCTCCTACTGGTCCACCCTTGAGGCATCGCTGCATCAAGCTGCTATGGTTACCTCAGCCGTCACATTGATGGGTGACTTCAATGTCAATATCTCGCATTCCCAGCCACAGCACGCCCAGCCACTTCTGGATCTCTGTGGTGCATATGGCCTCACTAATATCGTCCACTCCGTTACGCGAGTCTCACCTCGGTGTCCAGCTGGCACTACTATTGACTTGATACTGACAACAGAGGATAAGGATTTGTATGATTGCCGAGTCCTGCCGCTTACACTCAGTGACCACTTTGGAGTTGAAGCAACCTTCAATGCAAGACATGCCCGGCCAGACATCCCCAAGCAGCGTGTGCGTCGCCGTTTAGATAACATTGACTTGGTTGCCTTCCGACTTGACCTAGCTGCTGCTGAACTTCATGTGTACCCACCAGACTCTGATGTGCAAGCCATGTGGGACCACTGGCATCAACGATTCCTTTCTGTCCTCGACAGGCATGCGCCATTGCAGCAATGCAAGATTAAGACAGGCAAGCTCCATCCTCCATGGTCTGACAGAGAGCTATACAAGATAAACCAGCTGAAGCGTCGCCTGCATCGAAAGTGGCTTGCTGACAAAGCCAACTCTGAAGCTCACACAGCATATAGACGTGCCCGCTCGGTTGCTGCGAATACAAACAGGTGCAAACGCAACCAGTACTTCCAAAGTCAGTGCCAAGAAAATTGCCAGAACCCACGCAAGTTATGGTCAGTCCTAAATACTGTGACTGGACGCAAGAGACAATCAATCCAGCCGACATGCGACATCGAACATGTTGCGTCCACGTTTGGCAAGGTAGTCTCTGATGATGCTCGACCTTCAGTGCTCTCTATGCCTCAGGGTCCACAGCCTCGGTCTGCCCTGACCTCATTCCAACATGTGCGTGTCTGCGATGCAGAACAGCTTTTGAAGCGCATCGACCCGCGCAAAGCAACCGGGAGCGACGGCATCCCAGGCTTACTTCTAAAGTACTGTGCCGACCTGCTAGCACCATCAGTTGCAGCACTTTTCAATACGTCCCTGACCTCCGGCACTGTACCCGCTGGCTTTAAGCGTGCGTATGTGACCCCATTGCACAAGGCTGGCGATCCATCTGTCGCCAACAATTTCCGTCCTGTGTCCTTGCTCCCAATTCTCTCGAAGCTGCTAGAGAAGGTGGTGCAGAAGGCACTTGTCACCTTTCTGGATATGGCTGGTTCTCTGCCCAGCACACAGTTTGCATTCCGGACAGGACATTCCACGGAGGATGCCCTTGTGTTGATGGTCAACAGGATCCTCGCTTCAAGAGACCACCGCATGTTCACGGGTGTGGTCCTCCTGGATATGTCGAAGGCGTTCGACAAGGTTCGCCACCAGCAACTAGTCGAAGATCTCTTCTGTGTGGGCGTCACTGGAACAGCGCTCCAGTGGCTCATGTCATACTTGTCTGATCGCTGCCAGATTGTCCAGCTGGGATCCCAGCTTAGCACAGTGGCAGCCTGCTCCTGTGGAGTACCACAGGGGTCGGTATTAGGTCCACTGCTGTTCAGCCTTTACACCCGGGACATACCATCTGTTGCCCAGCAAGCTGAGTCCATCCAGTTCGCAGAAGACATCGCACTGACCTGCAGTCGCCCAACACAACAGGAACTGACCGCCACTCTCTCCAGAGCAGTGACATGCATTGCTGACTGGCTGAAGCAGCGAGGTTTGATCCTTAATGCATCAAAAAGTCAGGCATTGGTAGTACCGGCTGGGAAGCTAGAAGCGCAAACTGAACTGGACGTATGGTGTCATGCGACTAAGCTGCCATCTGTCTCTTCTGCTCGCTACCTCGGAGTTCACATTGACAGCGCCATGTCTTGGAACACCCAGATGGATAGGTGCGTTGCCCGCCTCAACAAGAAAGTCGGTGTGCTGTGGCGGATGCGCCGCTGCCTCAGCATGCAAAGCCGCATCCAGTACTTCAAGTCTGTGATAATGCCTGATTTCTCATATGGCTCCAATGCCTTCTCAGCATCGCTGGCGGGTAAGCACCTGGACCGCCTCCAAGTTCTGCAGAATCGTGCGGCTCGAGCTGTGTACGGATGCTCGCCGCGCACCTCTGCCAGAAACCTGCTAGTCCAACTCGGCGCCTACCGTGTCCGGGAGATCTTCATCCAGAAGCTCATCTTCCTGGTTTGGCGCTGCCGCTACTCCCGTGCTAGCCCCACACTGCAAGTGCTGTTGCTACCAACCAGTGGCGCTCCTACTCGGCTGCAATTATCTATGGGTCTAAGACCACCGCCAACCCGCACTGAGCTGGGTAAGGGTTGTCTCGCGTTCCAAGGAGCTAGGCTCTGGAATGCGTTGCCCAGCGAGGTGCGGGCCATACCGCACCCGGCCCAATTTCGCACTGCTGCTGTTCCACACAGCATGAACCCTTGAGGTCAGACGGATCACTATCGCCATATTTTCATTATATGCCTGCCTGCTGGCCTGCCTGCCCGTCTCTCTCCCTGTTCTCTGACAACTTGCTTGTTAATTCGTGCGGTTGTTTTCAGACGTAAAGCCCTGTTGTAGAGGCTTAGCCTTCATATGTTAGTCTCTCTGTCTCTCTCTCTCTCTCTCGGATCTCTCTCTCTCGGATCTCTCTCTCTCTCTCTCTCTCTCTCTCTCTCTCTCTCTCTCTCTCTCTCTCTCTCTCTCTCTCTCTCTCTCTCTCTCTCTCTCTCTCTCTCTCTCTCTCTCTCTCTCTCTCTCTCTCTCTCTCTCTCTGTTTTTGGTGGACAAAAATATCTCTGGCGTTGATTGCTTTCTTGCTTCGACTTCTGCCGCGCCTTTGTTCTCGTACTCCCCTTTATGTAAAAGTGTTGTGCAGATCCTCCCTTAATATAGTCTGTCTCATTTTGTCCTGAGATGTTTTGATGCATAGTGATTATGACGCTCATCATTCGCTCCCTTGTCACTGGACAGTTCTGTCCGTTTGGTTTTAGCGAATTCAAATAAAGAAAAGAAGAAAGAAGAGAAGAAAAGAGAGAGAGAGAGAGAGAGAGAGAGAGAGAGAGAGAGAGAGAGAGAGAGAGAGAGAGAGAGAGAGAGAGAGAGAGAGAGAGAGAGAGAGAGAGAGAGAGAAAGAGAGAGAGAGAGAAAGAAAGAAAGAGAGAGAGAGAGAGAGAGAGAGAGAGAGAGAGAGAGAGAGAGAAAGAGAAAGAGGGAGAGAATTATCGGTGGCGCTAGTTGTTGTCCGTTGCCCAAAGCCAGTGCTTGTGGCGCAAGTGCCTGTGAACATTCACTTTGAACGCCTGCATTTTCTTAACCTGGAGGTTGGCGAGCATCTCTGCTGGGAGGCTGTTCCACACTTGCACGAGGCAGAAGGGAAATGACCGGCGGATGTAATTACGGGCACTGTGTAGGAGGTCAAGCTTCAGGTAGGCAGGGTGGCGGCTGGCGTCGAGCTGCCGTCTAGTCTTGGGGTGAGGCCCTGGCGGTTCCGGAGGTGGAAGCATTGCGGTGAGTTGCGCTGGGCCATCAGTGGAGCGTAGCTTGTACAGGTACGTGAGGCCAGCAACCGAGCGGCGTAGACTGAGGGAGTCCAGGAGGGTGCCTGGGCCGATGATGTCCAGAGCCCTCCTCTGGACTCGATCTAGGTGATCGAGATGGGTCTGGCAGGCGCCCATCCAGACCAATGGGGCATACTCCAGGACTGGGCGTACGAAACCTTTGTACATTGCCAGGCGGCCGCCCCGAGGCAGGATGTGGGCAGCTCGTCGGAGAAAGCCCAGTCGTTGGCTTGCACGGACTGCGACATTGTGGAGGTGGTTGCGGAATGACAGCTTGGCATCAAATGAGACTCCCAGGAGTTTAAGGGTCTCAGTCTTAGCAACTGGGGTACCTCCAAACGTTACAGGGTCCAGCGCTGGGGTTTCTGATCTCGTGCTGATCACCAGTTGCTGCGATTTCTGTGGTTCGAAGCGGATGCGCCACGATTCTCCCCACAGGTAGAGGCGGTCGAGGGCCCCCTGGAGCCTGTGTCCGGGGTTTGCAGGGTCGTCAGTTGGTAGCACGAGATGGTACAGTGTAGTATCATCGGCGTACGTGCTCAGCTTAGTGCCTGGTGTTAGGCACTGGTCGATGTCACAGACGTAAAGGAGGAAGAGCGTGGGGCCAAGTATGCTACCTTGTGGCACACCAGCTGTGATTGCAAGCGGTGTTGATGCTTGCCCGTGTATAACCACTTTGAGCTGGCGATTCGAGAGGCAATTCGTGAGCCACTGCAATAATTTCCCTCCAAGGCCGATTTGTGCTGCCTTGTGGATCACCCCTGCATGTGACACATGGTCAAATGCACCGGCGATATCCACTGCTATCACCTGGGCATGGCCCCCAGCAGCAACTGTGCGGACCCATTCATTGTGCAGCGCCGTGAGGGCATCAGCAGTGCCCCGGTTCGGACGGAAACCATACTGGGTGTCAGGAAGTACGGAGTGTCTCTCCAAGTAGTTGGTGATTTGACTGTTGACAATAGCCTCCATGACCTTGGATAGAACGGATAAGAGAGAGACTGGGCGATAGTTGGCTGGT